AACTCACTTGCCCCCCGAGGATGCTGAAACATATTTGCTTCAGCTAAATTCTGCTAACAGAATCCCTGCAGGAAGGCAGCCACCTTTGACATCATTTTTTATACAGTGGGTCATCCAGAAGCACCTTCTTCCACCTCCAACATCAGAGTTTGCGATACAGAGAAAGCCCTCTACAGGTGTTACTGTTGGCAGACGACCGAGCTCCAGGCAGGTAAATGAAATAAACCAACCTGGCAGTTTGCACTAAGCTCCAAATTCCAGAACTGCATCAATAATTTACACGAGGGTTTGGATTTGTCAGCTTTATTCTGTACCAGCAGAATAACGTTAGCTGACAAGGCCTTGGAGTGGACAAAAGTTTGCCAAACAAATGGGAGATCACCCAACATTGCTACAATGTATTTGTTCCCCCTGCAAACACTGGTGCAGAATACTGAGGAGATGGCCGGACTGTAGCCATGTAATAGGCTTTGGTTATTGAAATGTTTTGGTTTTAAAGGAAAGGAGACTTTCTCACAGAAGCTCAAGCTGTCACAGTAGGAAAAGAAAATGTGTAAAATGCTAAGATTAGTGACAATGTGCTTCCGTTTACATGCTTGAGTTTCCAAGCACGACCTGTCGAAAGAGCCATTGAGTGAAAACAGTTATTTTGTTTTAATTCCAACACTAAAAGAACACAAAGCACCTTTCTGGCAAAACCTGCCAACCAATCTGTCAAATAAAAGAAAGCCCTTCAATTCTGCGAGCTCTTCTCCTCGACACTCCATCCGCTGTCAAACCTTTTCAAACTGCTGAGCCGAGGCTTTTCTCCACCGTGGACCCCGGTTCTTTACGTCCCCAATATACTCTTTCATCGTTTCTCAGACACAAGCCCCAAGCCCACTGCAGCTCTCCCATGTTAGTTTGTTACACACGTCCTCTTTCTTCCTTCTCATAAATGCTCTGGGTAAAACTGATTTAAGTTGCGAACAGCGTTATTATATGCAGCTATTTTAAATTAAATCTTGCTGTTTGGATTTAGTCACATCTTAAATAGTCGTGGTCAACGTTTCGCATCTAGTTTATGTTGCATCACCTCATCACTTTTCTCATCACATTTCAGGAGCGCAAGACACAAAGGACACAGATAGTGAGTTCAGCAAATTGCCACGTCCTCTTCAGCACATACGGACAGTTTGCGGGTTCGTGGCTGCCGATGAGCCGTGTAGCATGGAAATAACCCGCCCGCTTATCCTGATGATAAGCAAGCAGGGGGAGGCAGTCATTTGCCAGTTAGTTAAGCTTTATAGCTGCTCACAAGGATGGAAACGGGAGAGTGCTGAAAAGAAGAGGAAGCAAAAATAAATGCGGGAGGCAGTGAGGAGGAGAGAGCTTAGGTTTATTTTCAGCCCGAGAGTGCTGCATCCTTGATTAAGGATAATATTACAGACGAAACTCCAGCTATGGTCTCTGGAGTAAGGCAGCAGCTTACAGCATGAAGGCACTGCAACATTTCATCTTGGCCCGTGTGAGCAAATTGAGTCTTAACCTGAATATCAATTTCCTGGTTTTGCTCAACATTAATACAGAAGCAGTGGTGTCAGTGTCCTCACTCATTTGTATTTGGGTGTGCCTGTTCATGTAGATCAGCATCAAGCACTGAGTAACAATTATTCTGACAAGAAATGGAATCACGGCTGAACGGACCGAGGCAGAAATTTAATACGACACACATTTCGCATTTACCCCCTGCGACTGAACTTTGAACGTAGACGTTATCGTAGAAGTATCAAAATCCCATTTCACCGTCACGTTCTTTGTGGGATGGCTTTACGGTATCGTGTCTTTACTGCTGTGCTGAGGTAAGTTTCCATAACGGTATCAAGCTTTAGTGTTATGCTGAAGCAATCTGAATTAAGTGGCTGTAAAACTGTGTTGCTTGCGAAACATCAGCAGAACTGAAGGAAGCGAAGGCAAACCTGAGTTCATGGCTGTGGTGTGTCGACACTGAGCTTTTCGCTACTACTTATATTGCATTGCTTATGGGAAATATTACAAATGCTTGTTTTTTTGTGTTTATATCTACTTTGCAGGGAAACTGTGGTAAGTGTTCAGCACCACGGAGAGATCCTCTCCACTCACTTCCTGTAAGCTATTACGGAAATATTGACCCCGAAGTGAATTCGTCGTACGCATAATAAACGCTCATATAAGATACAACATGTAAGCAAACAGAGCCAACTGAAAATGTTGAGCTTGAGACTTTTCTCCCTGCCTTTGGAAATAGCACAAGGGGCCTTTGCGGGGCATTTTGCCGGATCGGCAGTGAAACAATACAAAAGTGTCAGGTAGTTTTATTCACCACTTTATTTACCACACCGCTTGACAGATCTCTTGTAGGAGCAGCAAAGGGTCATGAGTAAATGCCACCATCCTCCCGTCCTTTTCTAAGCAGGAAATTAATATTATTGAGTTTAAACAGACTGGCATTTGTGTTTGTGCTAGACTGGGTCATTCGACCTTTGTCCTCTGCTGGTGTCTCCTGTCAGTGGCGGTTTTTCTGCTCGATGATGTGTCTGTAAGGTTATCCGCAGCACTCATTAAAATAAAATGAAAGTCTATTGTCCCTTTAATCCCCGTGGGTACGGAGGCGTGAGTCAGCGAATGGCAGCGCCAACCACTTTTGGCTTGTCCAACACAAACCCCAATGTCATTCTGGCCAACTGCCCGTCCTCTCAGCCTACCGCTCCCTCTTTCCACCTCTCTGCCTCCCTCTCTCTCTCTCTCTCTCTCTCTCTCTCTCTCTCTCTCTCTCTCTCTCTCACGGATTCACTGCATCTCTCTTAGATCTTCTATTCTGGACAAATATCTCTGTGTAACTCCTGTAGACACTCGCTGCTGTGATGTGATGTGAGTGTGCTGCTCTATTGTAGGTTAATAGGGACTTTTCTTTTATGGTACGATATCTATTATTTTAATACGTAACATCTGAAAAGATAGTGTTATCATGGTAAGTTGATTTAAAGGCCTCTGAAAGATGTGAATGTTGCAATACGTGTCGAGAATTTTAGTCTATTCATTATTGAGAGAGACGGAGAGATTGTAAGTGTGAATTTTCTCCAGTATGAATAGATGCAATTTATTCCACAACTGCAATCTTAAAGTGTCCTGGAACCCAAATCCCTGAAGCAGTAAAGACCAAACCAAGTGTTTTCCATTAAAAGGTGAGAAAAACATGTCAGCTGGAATGTAGTGTATGAACATTCCACCTCACAGCGTTTACCAAAACTATGACGAGCGGCCACACGCGCCGTCAGAAACCGACAGTCTGTGAACAGCCGCCACTTGGTACAGCAGATCTGAAGCTGAAGCTAAATATAGATCTCACGTTTGTTTAGCAAATAACTTAGAAGGTGTCTCTTCAAAGGAATCAGGCGAATCGGCGTAATGTACAAAGTGAAATAGCACGTTTTTGAGTGTGCAAACAAACGTCTAAAGCACAGTGGACATTTGCACACGTGTTCACGGTGTTAACGCTGGTGGCTTTTTTCCCGAAGCACCGGCCTTAGCCAGCAGATTCTTGGGTTACCTGTTTGTTTTTGTTAGCATCGTGTAGCGGCCCAGCTGGTCCGTCTGTTTGTCCACAGTCCAGCCTGAAATATCTCAATATCGAACAGTTAATACTTCAGGCTTGTGGAGGACGGATTTTATTCACTCTGGTGATCTTTGGCACTTCCCCTTGCTCTCCCGTGAGGCTCGTTTTCCTTGAAACATCTCAACAGCTGGTGCATTTATATCCACAGACGTTCATGTCGGCCCTGATAATGAATTGCAATAACTTTGATCTCCTGCCTCTTCATTGCCAGCTGAGCCGCTCGGGTCAAATCTCTTCCTGCAAAGCAAATGTCACTGTTTAAATGCAAATGTTAGCATGATATCAAGTGTATTGTGTACATAGAGAACACGTGTTCTCTTGGTTAACCACATAATATTCATCTTTTATTGCTGACTGAGCGTGTAACGGTGTTTGAGGCAGCATGTAATATGTTTTCCGCCTGTAATCAGGTCAGAATCAGGCCAGACAAGTTAATTTCTTGTTGTTATAATGATTTTATTTCTTAATGATAAAGTTGCCGTCTGAATTGTCATCGCTTCAGCTGCCACTCCATCTCACTGGTACACCAACGCAGACACACATGAGACTTAAGATTAGTGACAATATGCTTCCACTAGACGCGGCTTAGTCTGTTTTATGAATATTGAATCATTTAGTCTGTCTGGAGTAGGACCAGGTGTTGCTTTCTCCTGTATTTACAGTATGGCTGGTTAGCAAAACAAAATGTGACTCATTTGAATGAAATCAGGATTTCACGCCTCAAGACCGTCCTCCGTTTGGTTTCTCCTTCTCGTCCTTTACTTTTGTTTCTCTTGGAGCCAAACTGCCGCAGTGAACGCTTGCTCAGTTGTTTTGTGAGCTTCTACGTCTTTATAACTCACAGCTAACCTGGTTTAAAAACTCTTACAGCAGTTGCGAGGGTTTTTCCCATTGTCCCATTAGAAATAAAAATGTAAAATGTTGCTTTCTTTTAAGGAAAAAGAGAGACACGAAGGTCTAAAGAAAAAGAAAAAAGCAAGATAGCTCCGGCACACAAACGCAGCAAAAACTGGGCCACGTATTCCACAAGGAGTGAGCTCACCGTGAAAAACTCTTCAAAGTGATGAATAACAAAACAAGTCAGCTTCGCACATGACCAAATGTTTGCTTGTTACATCATGAAAGAGATTTGTCTCCTATCAGGAATTTGTAGGTTAACGTTTGACCCAGATACAGCTGGGAGCGGAAGACTTCGAATTAAGATATCTCATTTAAAAAGAGAAAAAGGATCTTTAAAATAAAACTTTTTTCACCTGGCGGGCTGACAGCCGAACTTGAAGCTGTATTGTCATTGTGAGACAACAAGAATAAAAAGTTGTTGTTCATTTTATCGCCTGAATATTCTGATTCTCACCAACCTAAAAATCCTCCCATCCGTCAATCCATTCATCCTTGATGGCCACAGAAATGATTTGACCTGTTCATTGAGCCAAAGCATTCACTATTACTGTTAGAAACGCATTACTTATTCACTATCATAGCCGTTATTCACAATAATCACCTTTAATTCCACCACTAAATTGTATTATCCTTTACTTTTAACTCATAGTTTTGCCATCAACAAAACAAAGCTGGTTTAGTTTGACACGGTCAGACAAATGCATTAATTATAACTGAATGTTACCCACATTAAGTCTGTTAAATTATTTGGTCAAATGCAATCTGTTTGCAGCATGCAGGGAAACTCCATGAGCCTCGGGTTGGATGTGTGAAAGCTCAATTTACTTTCCTGCTCTACCTTTTGAAGTTTAAGATAAGACAATAAATAATGTGCATTATCAAGGTCATTCCCCAGTGTGGTGCTGCTATTATGGATAAGATGTCCCTTTTAGTGGCGTGCCTACATGCATATAATAAGGACTTTGGATTTGGGGTGTTTGAGGACAACCCTCCAGTTACTCAAGGCGTGTTGTGTTTTTTTTATTTTTATATGACAGTTACAATAGTAATGGTCAAACATGTCGGTAAACCTCATCGACGTGCATGCAGCTACAGCATGGAGCTTTACAAAAAACACAGAGCTAAGATGTTAGCGGTCTATTTTCCCTGTGGAGAAGGATCTGCATTGGATGGTGGCCAAAGCAGCACCACATGGGAACCTGTCAGACTCCTGATAAACCACAAACCAAGCAGAGCCGACACAAAGCCTCCCAAAGCAATAACTAAATTCTCCGGGGCCCCCCCCCCTGCACTGAGAAACAGCCGACGTCAGCTGTTTCACCAGGCCGCCTGCCGCGATGTGGCTCCTCTTCCTCTGGAAATAGATGAGACACAGAGTCGGCACACATGAAGAGGGACAACGAGCAAACCAAGAGGGAGAGCGTATTGACATATTCAAACAGTGCTGAGCAGAGAATATATGAGACATAGGAGACATTTACTCATTTACTGCCTATGCAACAGATCATGTGCATGGTGGAGATTGACCGCTTCTTACAGCTCAACTTCACACAAATGCAGTTTGAATCCACACAAATAGATGTTGCTGTGCTGGAGAGGGTGTGCAGTGAAACGTGCACTTTAGGTGAGAGATGTGTAATTGCAGTCAGATACCTGTTGTTTTAAATGTGTTCAAAATGTTAAATAAATTGTAGATATCTAGAGTCAGAAGGGTGGCAAATGGGGACAGAGAGAGAATGAGTGGATGGAGGGTAGTGTGTTTTGTAACTAGAGCGAAAAAGTTCCCCCGAGCAGTGAATAAAACATGATGCTACAAAATGGACCCCAGCTAGGGCTCCAAAAATGACCGGAGGAAAAAAAGCATTACTGTTACTCTTCTTTTAGCTGTCTTCCATGTGTTTTTCTGTGAAATAATGTTCTTCGGGGTCCAACAGCTATGAGACGTGGACACATAAGACACCAACCGCAGTAAAGTCACATCCTCGGCAGTTCAGTTTCATAATTGAGCGTTAAAGCCGACACCATAGCTCTGTGTCAGACACACAATTACAGCGAGAAGCCCTTGAGAGGTCCTTATAAGCATTTCCACGCATTCATGATAAAATAACAGAGCTTCATTTGCATAATTACCTGCAACGCAGCATCGTTTCATTGATAGAGAATGGTGGGGGCTTGTCCACCTGCTGAAAGCCATGCAGCCGTGATCGGGACATGGTGCAAAGACCCACTCTGCCTTTGAAAGAACACCTGGATCCACAGAAAGAGAAAGACGTGTTTGCATAGACAGACAGACAGACAGATAGATGGAAGGATTTTTCTCATGAATGAACTGATTGGTTTGACAATATTATGTAAATATTAATGACATCCGGTGCCACAGGCTACATTTTAATGAATATTCACTTATCCAGCGAGGGTTGGGGTTATTATCGTGTACGCCCCTGTGCTCGCGTGAGAAGCAGAACAAATTAATAGTCAGCGCTATTTATTTTCTTCTTAGTGGTTTCTATATTTAGCTCACACTAGTGGAATACAGTACACGCTGTACAACAAATACAATTCGCAGTGCCTCGGTTAAAAAGAACCGTAGTCTGGTGCGTTTAATGGAGGGAGGGGGGGTTGATGAACAGTCACACATGCAGAGGCAGGCAGGCAGGCAGCGGGGAGCTGTCCGTGGTGCTGAATCAGCCACCATTGCCTCGCTGCTGGTGTTCTCTGCAGGCTGTCGCCGGGCCTCTGCACAAATGTGTTGGACGTACACATTGTTAACTTCTGATCCATTTGTCAGCACTAGCACGCAAGCTAAAAAATTGCATGTGTTTTGAGGGTTTGAATTACTGATCTATTTACCGTAGATCTGAATCGTAGTTTTGCCTGTTTTTTTTTGTTGATTTATTTGCTAAGGGGAACTTTATTTCTCAGGTTTATATAGATATGCAGTTAAAAGACCAGCATGGACCTTGAAGGTGTATTTTTAATTGTTTTTTTTTCTATTTTCTTTGCATATTGCCAACAATAAACCACCCCGGCATTTTTAATTTGATGTCGGTTTGATTAAGATTAAAACGCACATTGTTTCAATTATTCACCGGAAAGTAAGGTGTATCGCAAAAGTTAAATACGTAAAATCCAACATCCAATCCTTTACCGCCTACCTCTCCAAACGTCATCCTCTGCGAGCCAATCGGGACGCGCCCGACAGGTCCCACCTGGCGAGCTCTCAGACGTGTGGACCAATCAGAACGAGCCGGGCCGCTCGTCACGGGGAAAATCAAAGTTGTTGTGGGAGCGCGTGTGTGTTTGCCAGCGAGAGGATCGAGACGGCGAGGAGGAGAAGTGGACGGACCGACCGGCACCAGCCCCATCCCCAAAAAAAAACACCGTAGCAGAAAGAAGAAGCCCCCCCCCCAAACACACACACACGCGGGATATCGCATCATCGCGATGAAAGATGACTTGACAGTTGCAAACTGCAGCTCTACCTCGTCGGACCGTGGCGATGTTTAAACCTCTGCGTGCATAGTACCCCCCCACACCCCCCCGCACCACTGTGGACGTCTCCATCTGGGACTCGCTTGCCGACGGAGCGTTTGCTGAACCCGATATGACGGAGATCAGCGAAAAGGAGAACGAACCACAGAACCTCCACCGTCCGCCACCGGCCACCGTGCCCAGCCCGCCCGAGACCAAGGTACCCGCCGCGCACCTGCGCCGCCGTGCGCGGTGCTTTCTCATTTGATAAAGAAACCGATATTATTATTATTATTATTATTATTTGGAAGTTGAAGCGCGTTCGTCTCGTAAGTTGCTGCTGTTGTCTTTTGATTTTAAGAATAGTTTATTGTTCATTCTGTCCCACGAATCTAATTCTGTGGCGGTTGCGTAAGAGCCGTAAGCCGCTTGTAATAGCCGCTTTAATTCTCTAATTTGTAACTCACCTGACCTCAGAGAGGTCGCAGAGGGCAGAGATGACTTGACATAAAGGCGCGTCTGTGTAGGCCCGTGTGTGTCTGTGTAACACAAATGCTAAGGTTTCCATTAGTACACCGTGATGAACCCATTAAGCCTGTTATGTGGTTGCTTGCTGATGAGCTTAAGACATCCGTAACATTGTGCATGTGCATTAAACATTGTCGATACAGCGTCATCACTCTAGACTTTCTAGGGGCCTTACATCTTGTCGCATGGGACCAGGTACCTGGATGGCGAAGATGGGGAAGACATTGATGACACTCTCTGTGACCCATGTGTGGTCTTCTGTGCGTTCGCTGCTGGAATATAATCCGCCACCAGACCAGAAGTTAGAGGTGTAAACGGGTTAATTCAGGAGTTCATCTTCAATTGGCGCTCACTACCCCGGATCACATGTGCTGCTCATGTGTGGTCAGGGATGGAAAAGAAAGCCTTCTTGTTTTAATGGATTTGAAATCCTTAATAATAATAATTTAGGACTTTTGGTAAGTAACTCAACGTTACTCCTCTCTTCTCTGTCCATTGCCTACTTGTTTGTGTTGTTTTAGCATTGTTACCTGTTTCTTTTTGCAACTTATTCATGCTGCTTCTTGTTTATGCCCCCTCCCCATGCCGTGACCCCCCCCCCTCCAACCCCTTCTCGCTAAAGAGCTTTCTAATTTCAATGGGGCTGATGTTTTAAAACCAGATACTGCTAGATGTTGAGTGCTCGGGAGTGCGTATTGCCTCACACATTTTCACTTGAATTAGCACAAACCAGGAAGCGTTTTGTCTCCAGGGCACTTTGCATCTTTCTTGGTAAAGTATGAAACCTCTATACATCCTATTTGTAGTGTTTATTAGCAAAAAAAAAGAAGATGAGGTGATCTTTCTTGACAAAAAAGTGTGGTTGAGCTTTAAATTGAGACAATAAATGATCACATAATGGCTGGACCTCAATCTCCTGTCGCACATTTTGTTTCTTTAACAAACGAGCGTCAAGAATGACCCTAATTGCAGCTGCAACGCAAACAACAAATCCCATTAAGGTTATTATGGCTTTTGTTTGGGCGACCGCGACGTGGCACCCGAAACAAGGCCGGCAGGTCGGGGGCCCCTCACAGAAGAACACAATGCATTGTGGGCGTCGAGCGTGGATTTACGAGCCAATCGGCCAGCAGATGTTTGCCGTGTCTTGCTCTGGTACGGGGGGGCTCATAATTCACACAAATGGTCGTCAGCAGTGCGTCTCTGTGTGTGTTTGCAGAAGCGCTCCTCATCCCCCGCCGGCGAAGAGCGAGGAGGAGGAGAAGTAGATCAAACGTGTGCTACAACTGCTGTGGGGGGGGGCTCTTTTCACGGCGGCTCAGCTCGAGGCCGTCTCCGGAGCTTCACTCGTCACTCCCCGTCACTCTCAAATCCCTCTCACCCTCTCCCTCTCTGCGTCTGCCCCCCCCCCCACACCCCTCATTGGCGTCCGAGTGGGTCTCTCTTCACCGCTCGTCTCCTCATCAGCTCTCCCTCCCCTCGTCTCTCGCTCTCCATTCCGTCTGCGTCTCCGCGCCGCCCCTCGGCTCTCTCGGGGGGTGTTTATCGCATCGATAAGTGGGCTCGCCGGCGTCCTGGAGTGGCCGAGGATGAATAGTTATTCCACCTACACCTGGCGGCAAGGTGACGGGTATTGTTATTCCTCTCTAATCACCCGGACAGCGCGCCATTCAAGGCATTTGCATTTAACAGTTGCAGCAGTAACACTGGTGGAAACGTTTGTAAAATATATCTTTATCAAGAGACAGAAATGGTTTATTGACGGTGTGTTACACATATAAGAGGAATCTGGCCTGCCAGACAACTGCATCACTGAGACTTGATTATAATGCACACATTGTGGAAGAGTTGTTTAACATATTTGTTTTGACAAGCTGTCGTCTCATCCAGACGTTTCTTTGTTTTTTACATTCTTCATTCACCGACGAGATTTGACATTTAACCCATTAAAAGGCAACTTGTCCTTTTTGTTAGTATGGATCAAACAAGACACATATCATTATCGTTGTTAATTATTGAGCTTCCGAGTTGATAGGAAGCTGATTTTGTCTTTTCGACAGTCAGTCCAGCTGTTCATGAAATAAACCAGCTGCTGCATCACGTTTCCCTCGCCAACGCGACGGCGATACTGATCTTCTCATCCACCTCTCCTTATGAAAACGAGTGAATATTCCTTTAAACTCTTCGTGAAGTTTGATACCGACACACTGGGATGGTATTGATGATGATGCGTAGCAGCGCTGTGCCCCGGGGGGCCATGGGGGCCCTTCACACAGTCCACCGCCTTCTCAGCCAACACAAAGGCGCTTTTACGATGTGAAATGATGGCAACCGTTTCGCTAACTTTTATGATCAGCCCCGAGCATCAAACTGGGTCAATTAAAGCCAACTGCTGTACACATTTTTGGGGGGTTGATTCCTCTCCTTTAATCCTCTGAAATACTTTTCAGAAATGTGCAAACATGAAAACAGAGCCCATTTCAAATTCTTCTTACTTACAGTTACAGTTATTAAAACGCATCATTAAACGTGCCGCTATAAATTGGATTGTGATACCGTTGTATTTGATTCATTTTGGGCAGCTTTTGACTGTTTCCTTGTCCAAAGGTATCAACACTTCTTTAATGAGCTTTTCCGATGTGCGTCTGTAACATGGTTTCACTGTGTAGATTACATTGCTGGACAAAGCATTTTCTGCCACCTTGTGTTTGTTTCTTCAATATTTTCAGACACTTCATGATGTGCTTGCGTTTCTCCTGCAAGTGTGATTGACTCGCGCCGCCGACCTTTGACACCAACTGCGGTCATAAAACAGACGAAGAGAGACGGAGTCACAATGAAGAAGAGACAAATAAACAACAAAAAAAGCAAGAAAACACACTGAGAATGGGACAAATGTTCCAAGTCAATCGCGTCCACGCTGTGCTCATTTATCCGATGTTGAGCCAGCACTGTTTGGATTAATGATGAAATGATTAAATTACTCTCCTTGATCGGGTTATAAAATGCTGCTGATCCAGCAGAATCCCGGGGTAACAGGAAGAAGAACGGCCTCCATCCAGTGCTTTGTTTAGGGCTTTGTTTGTCGGACTTGTTTTTAGAGAAAAACTGCACACACTTAGGTCCAAGACATCTTGAATATTTTAGGTTTAATCTTGAAGATCACAAGTGAATCTCTGCTAAATGTGTAACAAATCATTTCAAACACCCCAATTCGTACCGTTTCTCAACCGCTGTGTTTAAATCAAAGAGCCCGTTGCCTAATGCTAACTGCAAAAGCTCCTTGTGCAGTTAAGCCCCTTAAACTGCTGAACGAGGAAATGCGAGCTTCTCTTGGTCGACACTCGGGGAGGCATTTAGGAGCCACACAAAGAGCAGTGAAAGTGACAATGAGAAGAGGATTGGAGGATAATTTACCCCCCGATTCATTTTCTTTTTACCTAAACTAGTAGATCAGTAGTATGATCCATCACAGAGACACCTGTGATGCCCCAGGTTCATTTTAGGTTCCCATTCTCGTCCCATCTAATGGCCTACATCTATCTTCCCTAATAAAGTTTATATTTGCATAAGTAATTTTGGGGAAAAAAGCAGTGGATGTCAAAGGAGCCATATGTCTGATTGGATCAACCTACCAAGTGCTTAAAAACTGTTGTGCAAACTTAATGTCATTACATGTCAATGTGATTTTGTAATACTTGACAAAAAATACCAAGGGCTTTTTCTATGCGCGCACACACACACACACACACACACACACACACACACACACACACACACGTGTAGAGGTCAGTAAAGGAATGTCTGTGGGGTAAAGAAATGTCAGTAAACGCTCAGTTCTACGCAGTTGTAGGACGTTCTGAATTTATTCCAAACGCCACATTGCAGCATTTTCCTTGAGGCACGAAAAACTTACATTTGCACAAAAGGTCCTTTCGGCAGAAGGGACATCTTTTACCCAACAGGGTGCAGCTGGAACGATGCCTAATGAGGTCTCCTTCAATCTAAAGCTCAGGTCACTGCAGGAAAAATGTCAAACTTAATCACTTTCCTGTGTATAGAATAATACTTTTTAATATTATAATCAGCTGGGGATTTTCGGCAAAAACACTGCAGCGTGTTATGTGCAAGAGTAGGGAGACACCTGGGAGTTTTTTTTTAAAAGTCAAATAATGGAAATACAAGTACTTAACCCACATTTAAATACTGCCATCTGAACTGTTCAGTAAGGTAGTAATGGACCTAACCGGCAGTTACAAACATGTTGGAAAATAATGCACAAATCACTGTTCATGCTACACTAATATTCCAGGAATAAGAGCAATGAATTCTGGATCACACAATGTATTTGATCTATTAATGTTTAATCAGTCAATAGATTGTTACGGCTCTCAAACAATGCACTATACTGCTGTGTGAGGTGCGTGTAAGTCACAATGGCAGCTTTGGCTCTGCTCATGAATGTCACCGGTGTCAGAACAATGCTAAAACGAGCATTCTTATTCAGACCGGGCTTATAAACCTCGTGTAATAAGCGCCGGAGGACATCCGCCCACTGTTTGGCAGCTGAAAATACTGGCAGTCAAGTGACAGGATTGTTATTGTCTTTTCTTCCTTTTTTTGGGTATTTCTGTAAAGAAAACCTTGGTTACAGTCCAGCAACACACCCTGGACAGTATGATGCCATGCGTCATAGCAGCATTCGTTAGAGATTGATCATGAGACGGAAGACACTGTGTCCAAAAAGTTGAATCCTCTTTGGAGAAGACTTCTGTTAAAATAGTTAAGACTGTTTGTGTTTTTAAGAGTCATTAAACATCAGGATTTGCCCACATGTAGAATTATTACTACAGAGATTTTCCTCTTTATGTTGCTTTTTTTCCTCATTCGCCTCACTGCATCATATCTGTGTTGTAAAAATAAAACCGTCTAAAATAGCACGGGAGCCGTATCGTAGTGGCGCCAGGATTTATTTAACGGGCATCTCGTGTGTGCCCCCCCCCCCCCCTCCCCCTGCTTAATCATTAATATATCCATGCATTCCACACAACAGCCTATTTATAGAAAAGCCATCACCCAAACATCCGTGTGCTCATTTTCAATCGACCGAAGAACGAGCCTGAGATGTCTGCTGCGTCTCCACTGCGCCGCTTGCCTGTCGGAGACGGAGGAAGTGGTGCTTCGGCTTTTTAGACTCAAGGGGTGGGGACTTTGAGCTGTGCAAAAAAAAAAAAAATTGTCGACGTAGCATTTTTTCAACCCATCCCCTCACTCAATAAGCCGTTTTTTCTTTCTTCAGTTGTACATGTTGTGTTTTTTTCGGCCTCACATTATCTGACTGCCCCACATGCTTTTTTTCTTTTATTCCTCCTGTGCCTCAAACAGCTGTCTGATGTAGTACGCCAAACTACTTTCACTGTAATGAGCTAATTGCCGTCAGTAGTTTATAGTGCGATGGGTCTGCAGTTCTGTGATCCATAAATAGACTTTGGAGAGACACAAGAGGGCCGTGGAGAAATAAAGAGCATTCATTGGGGCTCTGTTATTTTCCACGGAGGATGTTATGGACGTAAGGAACCACTGGCACACATTATAACCCAAAGCCACTCATGATATCAGAGTAGCCATGGATGATTGGAGATAAAGAAGGTCGTGGTATGATGCCCTTCAGCTCCCAAATTTGCGTAACTCGACGAGCAATGACTATTTTGTTGCGTTTATACGTGTACCGTGCACTTATAGTAAATTGGAGACACTTTCTCGTGCAACGGGTTGCACCGCGCTTAAAACTATAATATTATGAATATTGAGTCTAGAGGCGCGACAAAGCGTCAGGTTAAACCCTGATGTTATTATCAGATCCCTCTGACAGGTTCTAAGCTCTTTACCACACTGAAGCGTGCAGATACTAGCTTTACCAATCACAACTGTGAACTGTCCCGCAGTGCGTGCATGTGAAGCATGTGGACACCTGAAGGGTGGAACATGTTTTTGTGGTTGTTGAACCTTTAATTGCAACGCTCCTGCTATCCGGTTCCATTCAGCCACAGAAGCAGCGGTGATGTTGACCACTGGCCCATGTGTAGAGATGTTTCATTTTAAAGATCATTAGACTCTTTTTCTTAACTTTTTTCTTTGATGGTGTGAGAATAACCTTTTATACGACAGCATGCGCAGGATTGTGTTGATGCAGATCCACTTATGAACTTATAAACTTATAAAACTGCACACTCAAATTCCATTGGGTCAATAACTATGTATTACTCTTTTCAGTGCAGGTTCTTGACTACAACATAGCTGCAATGGAACTTAAACGACCACCGGTCCCATTTTCATGATCAGTCAACGTTAGTAATTCAATGCAAGCTGCGATAAACAAGCTTTTTTCTGTTGTTTTTTGGATAAGTCCTCTTGTGTTTCTTTAATCATAGTAAAAGCTCAGGTAGGGACATTCAGCTATTGATTATCACTCATGTGTTGGCTCCTCTGTGCCTCAAGGAATACTACTTTCCCCCTGAAACTGGAGCCAATGGCGCTACAAGTCGAAAATCGAATAGAGGGGAACATCCATTACTGAATGGGAATGCAGTCCAGCCAAGAAAAAGGCCACTAAGGAAAGCATGAACTCAGCTCCCTGTAGAAAAACATTTCCGAGAGCCACTCGCTAATGGGTCAACAGAAAGAACTCTTTCATCACTCAATCTAATTGGCATCCGCGAATGTGTAGCTTGAGGAAGTGAATTGGAGCGCGCTCAGTGCCATTGAGTGAGGAGTAGCAGAAACACGTTAATGCCACAAAAAAAATAAATGCATAATTTAATAAAAGGTCTGTGTAACTCTGAAGTGGGAGGCAGGTTTCTGCTCATTAGCCGGTCGCTAGCACAGACAGCTAATGAGCTCCGGGCAAATGGAGGAGGTGCTTTTCAGTCGCGGGGACTTATCGCATCCTCGTCCGCATCCTCCTCCAGGCAATTGCCTTGACGAATGGGTTCCGAGCAGATACTGCTTCCGTATGTTGGATCCCATCGTCCCCGCGATTGTTTGTGACCAACGGTTCCACTGTGTCGTGGATGAACCCGGTGTTTGCCGCGCGCGGCACCACTGACAAGCATCAAGTGCAGAGGTGCACGGCGCTCAATAGAAGCAATCAGATGTGAATCTTAAGGGATATTGACGCGCGTGGATCCGCAAAGGGCGGCAAATTTGCGATCAAAGGGAAGAGGTGAGGAGGCTGAAGATGGATGGCAAGAAGCAGGCCAGATAAAGCAAGGACAGTCAGAGGGGAGAGCTGACGGGCCGTTAGTTAACTTCTCAAACGCGGAACACATTTCCTCAAGATGGAAATTTATTTTTCTGTCTTTTTAAAAGACACTTTGATTTTTCCTGGTTTAAAATTTCACCCCTCGGCGTATATATAATGTCGCCACCCAATGACAGAACGGCCCTCGAGTCGTGATCAATCGGAGCTTCAAGACAAGTATTTGGGATCGGGGAGGTTTTTGGAGGTGAGGCCTGTCACGTTTTGATTAAACGTTGCCTGCCACATCAAAACTACATGCCGTCACTTTTTCCCATCACCTGAGCCCAGCTGACTTCCGAGCAGCGAGAGAGACAGATAGAAGCACAAATACATCTGTGTTTATGTGGGATTGATTTCTTCACAGCGAGTAGCAGATGGATAAAAACGTCTTTTTTACTTCTTCAGGCGGATGTACTTTGTTGTAATGTGTAAAGTGAAGCACCAGCTTGTCAGTTCGCACATACTTACATACACAGTCAAAGCGTTCATGTTGTCTCGTGGTTTTCGTTCTTTGTCCCCCCAGTTGCAGCGGCTGAAGCGCTCCCTGTCCTTCAAGTCAGTCATGCGCAGCAAGAGCGTGGACAACTTCTTCCAGCGAGCCAACGGCGAATCCCGCCCTCCCCCCGCCCTCATCGCCTCACCTCCGCGGCCGCAGTCTCCCCCCCGGTCTCCGAGTCCCCCTGGCCTAGGAGCGCCCCCGTCGCATCCGCTAGTCGCCCAGCCCCGGCCCCTCGTGCACCTGGCGTTCGCCTCCCGCAAGTCCTTGGAAGTCGATGAGTTCCAAAGGCGCAGCCCAAGTCCCCGGTCGCAGCCGGCGAGGACGCACTGTTTCCAGGAGCACGTTATCACGTCGGCCCGCCAACTACCAGGGGGGAAAGCCCACGATCCAAGGTAGGTCCGGGGGAGGGTGTGTGGGGGGGGGGGGGGGGTTACCTGTGTTCAGAGAGGGGAAGCTCTTAAGAAAAGGAGCTGGTGGGTGAATTTGGTGAATAAATACGGGTAAGCGTTTTCCACTTTTATTGTGCTTCTCCCCGATGCAAAAAGATTAGTTACAAATAGGCTTGGGGGAACAATGGCTTTAAAGGGAGCGGCTGATTATTAAGCTTGACCTCTGGGAATATGTTAACTTCTTTTTCAAGTTTTTGGGGGGTTTTCAAACCATTACTGATTGTTGCTTTGGGTCTATGACTTTTTCTTTGGCATAAAATTGTCCCGACGGAAAATATTTAAAGCAAGTTCTGTGGGCCAATCGTGTTTACGTACCTCCTCGAGGAGTTGTATCTCCTTTTCAGTTCCCCGAAGAGAACCCACGCAGGGGGAGAACATGCAAACTCCACTCAGAAAGGACCCGGCCCGCGTGGGTCAACATGTGAGGCAAAAATCTGGTGTTTTGCTCTAAAATAAACTTCCAAAGTTACAAAGCATCTCTGGAGAGTCTCTTTAATTGTTTGAAGCACCTACAATTACAGTTCCTTTACAACATAAAAGCGGGATAACAGTCACAAAGCTAGAATATGTGGCTTGTGAAAAGCATTCGTGAAAAACTGGCAGAAAATGCAGAATTTCACTCAGTAATTATACAAAAGACAGAACTCAGACGACGCTGAGTGGCCACAAATACTTAACGTTATTGCTTCCGACCTGCATTGCCGGGGTCTTTTAACCTGTTGCTGATTACAGAAACATTGACAGCTGTCTTTAGTCCACCAGCATGTGTTTGGAGTGAACTGTCCCGTCTCTCCAGGGAACTCCAAGCAGGGACTGCGTTGCAAAGCCTGTAAGCTGCCGGCGCACCTGTGGTGCTCGTCGGAGCTCTCCCAGCAGCCCTGCAACGGCAAGGTGAGCAGACCTCCGACCGACTTTTCATCAAGTGTCACTACCGCGCAACTATGCACCTCTGAGGGGCCAATCGTTACACTTCTGCTGCCCTGCTGAAACGGGTTTGGCAGCTATGGGACACGCAGAGATGTGAACCTTTTGAGACCGCAGGGAACTATGTGTAACATATTGCTTTATATTGTTATTAGTCTCACGCAGTCATCGTAATGAATGTCCTCAAATGCTTTGTATTACAGTTTTACAATAGTTTGTCTCATTCTCCTGACGCCTGCCCTTATTCTTAATCAGTAAAAACGCCCTTTGTGCATTTAATAAATGGTATTAAATGCCATGTTCTCTTGTTGGTACAGTTATCTCCCAGTAGCCAGGCTCACCACGGCGCAAAAACGCTTCTTAACATAGTTAATTACATCTTTATGTTTTGCGCGGCAAGTGCACGGGTTCACCGCAGGCAAGAGAGCAACCCAGAATGCATCGTGTCAGCGGAATTAGCCGGCGTCTGGACGCCGTAATTGTCTGTTGGCACGGCCTTTATTCCTGGTAATACGCTTAGCCCCAAAGCCCCCACCTCGTGGGAAGAGGATGAAGCCAACCAGCAGAGAAAGAAATGTAGAGGTTATAAATGGAATGTGTGTTTCAAAGGTAGATTACCGATCTGTTAGATGTGTGGGAGGGCAGCAGTACACTACAAATAGCACAGGGCGATGACGCTGATTGGGTTTCGGTGACCGGGTCCGATCTCTTTCTGCGCTTGTCCTTCTTCCCGCATGTGCTGCTCCTCTCACATGACGCCGTCCAATCCCCCCCCCCCTCTCTCTCTCTCTCTCTCTCTCTCTCTCTCTCTCTCTCTCGTCCGGGTGCTACATTTCCTTCCTCTCCTCCTCAACTCTGTTGGTAAATCAATATCTCCCGGTACCAGCTGGTCTGGCTAATTCAGCGTGAAACTCAGTGTGTGTGGGAACGCACACAATCCCTCAGGGAATCTGACACGGCAGGCTTTCGCCCGAAGCCTTCGGCAGTGTGTTTTTTCCATCCCTGCACACTCATCAGAGCGAGGATCGGGCATTTTACTGACACGGGACGGCGGTCCACTGACTCTCAGCGAAATTGTGTCATCCAAAGCATCCGAATGCTCAAATCGTATCGTATTTGAAGTCTTGTAATTGCTCAAGAGCTTTCACTGGTTAACCCTCGCGGTGCGGATTTGAATGAAATGGACACTTAACAGTGGCATGTGTAGTTTTGTGTAGTTTTTTCACAGTAGAAATGCAGTCTGGCTGGAAGCCAGGCGGAGCGGTGATGGAGTTGCTGCAGGGAGGAGAGAGTTCATTAAAGAGCAGAAGGAGAAGCCAACTCAGCGTGACGAAACATGAATACATTAAATCAGTGCAAATACTAAATGAAGTCATTCGCAGATCCTACTCAATACTTATACTTACTTACTTATACTTACTTCATTTCAAACGGAGCACTTGCAATATGTTAAAAATGTTAAAATGTTAAAAAATGTTAAAAATCTAAACTTATTTTCTTAAAACAAAGATCTCAACACAGAATTCTTCTTATAACTTGAAAATGCATGATGCAGAGATGCATAACTAGTAAGTAACTAATAATACGCCCAAATAATATATCAGATGGTATTAAAACTCTACTAATGGTACCATGTTACATAATGTGTATCTTCAGTTTTGATGACTTATAACCAGTAATTTTACTTTTAATATTTGCACAGTGAGGCTTTGTTGCTTTAACTTAGTAGTCCTAACTTTTTGTTATAAACAATAAAAGTGCAACATTAAGCAGGTACAACTGGCACAAGATACACTAAAGAGTGAATTAGTGTAATTTCGAGTGAAAAAATACTTCCTTGGCTCTGGCTCGCTCTCAACCCATTTTCTGAGTGCACCCATACAGTATATGACCTTTGATTGCTTTAAAAACTCTCCAGAATGAAGCTTCTGAAAATGGCTTTGGAATCCTGACAACATTCTGCTAATCAATGTTAATTAAACTTGTAGATCCCTACGCTTTTGATTAAAGAAATAAGCCTGCCGAGCACTGCACAAAATAATTGGCTTTCGACTCGCATCAATCACCCTAAGTTCTTCTCCAGAGTCCAATCTGACCAATGAGTGTGATTTCTGCTGGTCTGCTCTCTTAAACTGACAAACAAAAAAACAAATATACTTTTTCCATCTCAGTCTGTTCGCTAAAGCTGCACTGATCGGTTGACTGACCAAAATTAACAATTCTTTTTATTATTACTTTATATTATTTGATTGTAATTTTTGCCATTCTTAACTTCAGCCACTCGTGAATTTAATGCATGTATATATGAATTTTTTCAATCAATTCAAGAAATTGAGAAAGTAATCTGCAAAACAGCCGATTCAATGAATCAATGAATCATTTTGATTCAATAAAGGTAATTCAACCTCTGAATGTACCACAGGGCACAGGGCAGAGAAATAATCCAAAGATTGATGACGTTTTTCTCACTGATGACGCTTTTATCAGCAGGTTTCACTCACTGTAAAAGTGCAGAAAATGGATAGGGAGATTGGATAAAGCGAAGGTACTATCTTTATAAGTTTCTATTTTGAGAACGCTGAACGGATTCATCACAGGCTGTGTCAAAAACAGCACTTTGTAATTGTATCTCTGAGACTGCTGAGTCACTGTAGCTTCTCACATTTTTCTTTCTAAAGAAAGAAACACAATCAGATATCAAAGTATTCAATTTGACAAAGAGAGACCGACCACGTGGATGAATAGGCTCGAGAGCAGATAGGAAAAAGGTTTAGTCATACTCCATTACGCATGCAATCGTGTTGGGGCTCATTTTGCAGAAGCTCCCCGTTAGAATTAATGGTCGGTATATTATTGTCACCATCAGTGTTAAGTGATGCAGTCATATAGATCGTGTGATCCGGCCTAAAGGTGACAGGATTAAAATCATTTTAAAGGTTTTTATTTTTGGATTGTTAGTCATATCTACTTCACATCTACTTGCAATTGCCACTTTCCTGCATCAGTTATTTTACAACTGTGTTAGGTGTAAATCCATAATAAATGACTGATATCCACTCCAGTAACTGTACGTCAACGTACTGCTTCTTCAAATTAAGTGTACTATGATTTAATCTAGTTTAATCAGGTATCCGTTTTCACTGGAAAGAAAAGGGCATGAGAAGCTGTCAGATGATTTAAAGTGAGTATAGCAGAATCTCTTAGAGATATCGTGAAGTGCAGGTCGAAAAATACATGAAATATAAATGAATGCGTAAAGTACCTGAAATGCAGAACTTAATTAAACTTAGTTGCATTCCACCTCTGTGTGTTATGATGTTTTTTTTTTCATGTTGCAGATCTTTCATTTCAATCGTAACAACCAGCAAGATGTTCCCTCTCAATCCATCAGCACATTTCAGTTGGTACATTTCCATCTCACGTGCCGTGGGCGCGCTTCTCTCAGACAAAACCGCCCTTTGTCTTTTTCCTTTTCTTTGTTCTGCATCAAGTAACGTCTCTCCTTCCTTCCTTCCTTCCTTCCTTCCTTCCTTCCACCGTCCCTCTCAGACCGGAGCCTTCAAGAGGAACTTCAGCTCCCCGCTGTTGACCAGCGACGCGCTGGGCGTGGTCGTCGAGGCTCCCGCCTCCCAAGGTGAGCGACGGAAACGCCGGGCCGCCTGTGCGAGTCGGCGTGGCGTATCCGACGTATGTTAAACCGCACGAGTGTTTGCTCCGTGTTCCCCCCCGATGCTGCAGAGGCGGACAATGGCACCGTCGACCCCGTGTACGAGGCGCTGCGCTACGGGACGTCGCTGGCTCACATGAGCCGCTCCAGCTTCAGCAGTATCTCAGAGTCGCCCTGTCACGAGGTATGAAGACACACACAAAGCGGTCATCAATCACGGCAAGAATATTGCTCACGTCGCTGGCCGCTAACTCTTCATTTATGGCAGGCGGAAAAACTGCAAGACAAACTGGAAAACCAGCCGATAGCTGAAGAGGAACACATCCCGGGAAGTAAGTAGTGTCGTTTTCATCCGATGATTGGTTGGTCTTTCAGCTTGTGATATAAATCCTGGAAAGACCTGGAAGGGACAGTTTAACAGTGTGGGACACTTTAGAGGTTGATTTTGTTACCTCAGCACCGAGCCACGCAGGATGGATTTTTTATTTTCCGTGCTGAGAAGAAACAATCTAGCAGTGTACATTGTAAATCGTCTAAAATATTCTGCTTGAGAAACACAATACGCTAGAGAGGTTGCGTGTTTGTTTGCGTGTTTATTTTGTACGCATTATTCCAGCCTGTGTCTTAAGTCCCAGGAGAAGGAATCGTCTCTGTTCACACTGCTGTCACGTTACAATAAATGACGTTGACTTGTTCCTTTGTTCTGTTTGCTGCAAAGAGAACTAGACCTCCGTGTGTTTCCCTCCCTTCTTTCCCCCTTCGCCTCCTGCACTCTTTCCCATTTCCTCTGCTTTTACGATCCTTCTTCCTTTCACGCGTACTATCTCTCCGTCCCCCTTTTCCTTTTCCCTCTCTGCCCTCTCCAGTGCTCACCCCTCCGGAAAGCGAAAAGGCTGATTCAGAAGACCGAGTCAGCCTGAAGGTTTGTGGTCGGCGCTCCTCTGTACTTGCAGACTTTGTGTTTTTCTTGGTGAACGTGCCGTCTGTCGTCCGCCTTTAAACTCTATCCTGTCCACTCAGATGGAGATAACAATCTTCTCTCTGTCTGTTTCTTTTGATACTCCCTTTTTTCCATCAGACTCCTAAGAAAGTAGAGGTCCACTCCATCCACACATATGTGGCTCTCTACAAGTTCCTGCCTCAGGAGAAGAATGACTTGGAACTACAGTCAGTCCATTTTTTTTTTTTTTTGCATACTGTACTGATTGAGTACATGAGAAAAAAAAATCAAATGAAAGAGGAGGAAGTGTGTACCTGGCATTAATGTACTGACATTCACACACCATCTGCCTTCCCTGCAGGGGTGTTGTATGGGGGTTGCAGGGTTTTGATTGGGAGGGAGGGAGGAGTGTGCTGGGTGGCCGGGAAGGAGAAGCCACTGCGTTGAGTGTGTGACATGAAAAAAAAGTATGTATGTTAGTAGGTGCAGGAAACTGCTGAGTGTGGAATGACACCCACCACTAATCTGCAGGGTGCGTCTGTGCACAAAGTGTTTTGTCACGTGCAAAGAATAGTTTCCTCTGTAACAAAACCAATGCCATGGAGAAATTTGCAGTAATATACATCAAATAGGGGAAAATAGTCGGACTTGGTATCAGTGTTGAGTAACCTAATCTTCTAGTTTATATACACGACTCAGATGGAAACAAATAACTTGCTATAAAACTGTGGAAATGCTACTCATGGCTGTAATATTTTAGCTATGTATCGTGCCTGTTCACAAGCTAGAGGCAGCTGCCGGTCAGTTTAGCTTAGCATCAATGTAAGAAGGGGGGAAATAGTTAGCCTGGCTGCGGCACAAAACCTTTTTTGTACAGGTAAAATAAACAGGTAAATGAAAGTTACAAACTCAGCAAGATCAAGTCTATTTTTCACAAATGCAGTGGCAGCATCTTGGCATCAAGCCCTTTGTTTAACTGTTTTTACTCCAGGCCTGGAGACCGAGTTCAAGTCACCGATGACTCCAACGAGGACTGGTGGAAGGTGAGTTCTGGGAAAAATTATATTTCAATTTCAAATGCACTGTAGTTGAAAAGATATCATCACTCCGAATATCTGCATAACCTTTGAATAGATGTAACACACATAGACTAGATCTAAGCTGAGTTGCAGTCGGTGTTTATTGAGGCATCTGAAGATCCTAACCTTCACCTGAAGGACGGACCGGTCAGTCACCGGGGAATATCCGGACGTCCACTTAAGTAAATAAATAAATAATAAGCCGAGGAACCATATTTCTACCGGTAATATTACCGATGTAAAAAGTCTGGCGATCGGTCCAGGGCGTTACCCTGCCTCGCCCAATGTCAGCTTTCAAAGTCAACGTAGATGGATGAACTTAATTGTAGTACTAGGAGTCATTTCTACCCACCGCAGACCCATTACATTACAGGCGACTGACACTTAAACCCGTTATTAATGTAAACATGCCTCTGCTAAATGTTGAAGATCCAACATCAGGAGACAAGCAAAATACCAGAGGCTTTGTGAGTGTCTGCAGAGAATAGAGGGGGATTACAGAGGCTTTCTGGTCTGCTACTGAGGTGGCTAATTAGATTTTATATATATATACATATATATATGTATATATATATATAATCTAATTAGCCACCTCAGTATATATATATAATCTAATTAGCCACCTCAGTAGCAGATAATCTTACTGTATATATATGTATGTATATCTTCGTCAGCTAATTGTAATGGTTGATTTAAATTCCAAATCGGTTACTTTGATGAAAATGTGATGCGTGTTTGGTAGCCGGCCAAGTAAACAGGAATAAAAACACAAAGAATCTAATTTAATTTAATCTGACGACTGTCAAGAGGCGCAGTGGAAGCTGCCTGTGTTTGAGGCGTGAACAGGGAGACGACTCTTCTTCAGCAAGGTGGCCGATCGTGGCTCATTAGAAGAGTAGTCGGGATCATGCTACTTCAGGGCCTCTTTTCTTTTTTCCATTTCAGCTGAAACTCAAGAGAGAATATCTATTTATAACCGTGTGTGTGTGTGCACGTCTGGCTGTGTTTACCAGGGGAAAAGCAGAGACAGGGCGGGTTTGTTCCCGGCCAACTTTGTGCAGCGCGTCCGCCCCGGTGAGCGCGTGTGGAAGGTCAGCGATGGTTTCCACGGCAACCGAGACAAAGGCCAGATGACTGTGAAAGAGGCCCAGGTGACCACGCACCATTCCCCCCCCGCACCCACACACACACACACACACACACATTGGGTGCATTTTCAGACGTTAATCCATGCAGAAAACTGCCAATAGAACAGAGGACAGCGCGATGCGGCTCACGTTACTGAATATCGCTCCTCCTCCATGCCCCCCCCCTCATCCTCTGTAGATCTGCGTGGGGAAGAATGAGGAGATTGACGGTTTCCTCCGGCTGAGCAGCGGGAAGAAGAGAGGCTTGGTCCCTGTGAAGAATCTGCTGGAAATATGATAGCGGTGCCCTTCTCCTTGACCCCGAAGAAGAACCTCACCATGAAGAGGGTGCACTCAGGAGTGTGTACCCGACACCTCACTGACCGCCAACCCCCCAGCCCCCCCTCCACCGACCCCTCCAAAAAGAGGCCACAAATGAGCTTTTTTCCCCCGCAGAAGCTTTTAAGACTTAAAGGAGGGTGGCGGCTCCCTCACAGCTACTTCTCTGTTGTAGCACAACTTTACCTTGCGTGGGTCTTTTTTTTTTTTTTGATCACACTCACAACAGAAATGTAGCATCACGCCGAAGAGGATAGTTTGCAGGATGACGGCCTCCCTCTCTCGCCATTTCGCCTCTCTGCGAATAATGAGAGAAGACTACCTTACTTTGAGCGGGCCGCGTCCGAGGCTTGTGAGAGCGAACTCGCTCATTTCACTGTTTGCGTTGAGAGACCCGAGAGGTTTGTGAAAGAATGTAGCCGTCTATTGTAGTGGCTTGTGTCTCACACTTTAAGAGATGTGGTTTGGTAGATGTAGATGGGCGGGGGGGTGTATGTTACGCCGATCTTATTTTGTGTGTGCAGAGTGCAGCTCACATTGTGTACACGTCTGCCTTTGTCGTATGAGTTTATGAGTTGCATTTGTGTTACTTCTGCTCCGACTAGAACACGATTCAGGTACTTACACTGTGTGTATGGAAAGATTAAAACAAATTGTCTTCTATGCTACACAACACACACACTGGGATTTTCTATGTTTCAAACTGCTCTCCAGTGATTAGATTATCGTACACGTTTTGCTCTTCATCTTTTCCAAAGGTGCCCTTCAATGACACTTAACCCACACGCACACATTTGGCAGCTCACGTCCCATGAGACTCTAAAATCCACCCCTGGAATCTGCTTGTGGTCATTATGTTGTTTATCTCTCTCTCTCTCTCTCTCTATCTCTTTAAGTTCTGTGATAAATCCGTCATATTACTTTTTTGCACTACAAATTGAGGATGGTGTGATTTTCTGACTTTCTGATGCTTTTGTTGCACGGAATAGCAGAGCAATGAAACGGATGTCTAAAGTTCGCCAAATTCTTTCTGAATGACTTGTAGTTCTTGCAGCACATCTGATTTCTTTTATGAGGGACTGTTATTGTTTTTGTTATTTTAAGTCTAAAGGGCAAAATCAACGCACGCCATGTGATGTATCGCTCATTATAAATCATAAGGCAACGACAAGTTGCAGCAATAACTGTAAATAAAGGTATGACAGTATTTGTAAATAGCCTTATATAGGCTCTGAATAGCTCTCTGTCCAAGAGGTTTGCAGCTATCTGAGCCAACTAAGGGCATTAATCTCAGTTATAAATTACAGGAGATCATTATTTATTGTCCCACTTTCCAATGTATGCATCTCTTTGCTCAATTACCATTCAGCCGTGTCAGCACAACTCTTCTCCAATACTATGCACAACAGTTCTAGTCACTCACTTTATTTTGTACTCGGCTTATTTCTTGTGGAGCCACAAACGTGTCTGTATATACATTTTGCTTTTGCAACAATTTGAATTAGGGAATCCATCCTTTACAAAGTGCTAATCCTAAACATTACCTTCACTGGCTAGAACCAATATTGGCTCAGGATCAGTATTTAACAGGTGAGTTCCCTTTCTCACCTTAATGCACACTACCAGGCTAGTTCTTTGCATGGCTAGCTGCCCTTTGATCGTCACAGCGCTAAATAAAGTCAGACAAACTGTCAAACCGTGTGCTCCTTTAATTGAGAAAGACTTCATGCTTTGTTTTCTTTGTCTTGCTCTGTCAAACTGTATTATTTGCCTCATAAATATTGGAATTACTGTTCAGCCAATGATGGTAGGATTATTCAGATAATGTAATGTACTCAAGTAAACAAGCAAGACCACACCATAAAAATACTGCTTTACAACTAAAAATTCAACCCTGCATTCAAAGGTTTTCTGAAGATACTGAAGTGGTGTTAAAAATTAACTTAAAAGTAAAGTAAGCATTTCTACTGGACCTTTTCATTGTTATATAATTATCAATATTGTTATTGCATTGACTTTCTCATATACTGTTAGTTATATACAATGCATCATCTTTTGTAAAGGGGGATAGACGCAAAAAATATTTTTCATAATGATACATTTTGAAAGTTTGGGTTATTTAATTTTTTCTTTGTCCACATGTTATTCATAAAAAACGTTGAATAGAAATGGCTGGCAGTATTTTATGATAGAAATTCAGATATTCAAGTAACCTTTCATGAATACATTGTTTTTCAACTCTAAACTGTCAACCCATTGCGAATGTTGATACTAAATAAACATAAAGTGAAGTGAAGTGAGAATGCAAATGTTTAGCAGGTATCGTTTACGATGTTCACAATCTTTGTTTGGCATGCTAGCATGCTAACATTTGCTAATAAGCGTTAATAAGCGTGTCATACGTGTGAATTTAGTCTTTAGTATTGGGCAAAATATTTTCCTGCTGACGGTTGCAAATTATGAAAAGTAAACTTTATACGGTCACAGATATTTCCGTCCAAAGAGGTGAACTGACATTGCCGGGCATAAAACTGCTAGCATGATTCAAACAAATAGGTTTTTTTCTCTCCCAATTTACAGCTAAACGTCTGCATTTTCTCCTCACATTCACCGTCTAACTTCACACCTAAATTCCTCATTCGAATCCAAACTGGAAATGTCTCCTTTCGTGGCCACAGAAATACACCGAGATCTTTCATGTGACTTGACAGCGCAGCACCTTAAAGGACTCCTCATTCTTAATGACCATAAATAATGTGATTAACTTCCAATATAATTAATTGGCAACAGACAAGCTGCTGGCAGGCCATCGACTACGCTGGCAAAGAGAGAGAAAGAGTGTGTGTGTCCCTGCTGTGGTGTGAGGAACATTTCTCAAATCATGACCCAGTTCTGTTATCAAATTGGATCAAATGTGATTTTGAGAGATACAGAGAGAGAGAGAGAGAGAGAGAGAAAAATATGTGTGCAACTGGCAGAACATCTGCCTTCTCGTACATTTTTTAAAAATTGCTGACTTGTATGCTGAAAATGGCATGGTGCCTTGCACTTGCTGTACCACTGAGCTCTCTCTCCTCCATGGCAGTGAGAAGAGGAGGTTGACATCCTTTTCTCTTCCTCCAGTGGCAGCATGAAGCAGAGAACGCAAGGCTGGGACTGTCTCTCTCAAATCATTTTCTACATGCATCAACATCACGACAAGACATTGAATGTTTTTTTGGGGGGGAGTCAACGAATCCACACCGAGTATCGAAGAGGCTGGAAAATGAAGTAAAATGGCTCATTATATGTGCGAGTTGTTACACCGTCTTCTCCTGCTCATTCTTCACACTCAGTTATGTGCACTTTTAGGACTGTGCTTTGACTGCTTCGTAGGGGGCCGGGGGGGGGGGGGGGGATTCTAGCACAAGGGCGTTGACAAGAGGAGCACAAAAAATATAACAACAATGCAAATTCAAATGCAAAATCCATGCTCGAAATAGCACTTGATTATATAGGCAGGCAGAAGGATGAGCAGAGCGCTGTCAGAGGGAAATAAAGCCGGCTGGAAACACCTAACAGACCTCTGCATCAAACACACGCAAATAAAAATAATCCCTTACTTCCTCTTGCTGTCTTTTTAATTCAGCGTGAGAGGATATTACACACGCACATCTACATCCGGGAAGAAGACCAACATGTGCTCTCATTTTCACCCCTTTTCCACCAGCTAGTCACCAACTTCATCCCTCTGTCGTCGAGTCTCAGCGGGCAGCGTACGCCTTTGTAGAAGCTTTGTATACAGCAGAGTCGCGAGACTGATCCAAATCAGAGTCAGATTCGACTCCTCTTTTTCTCTCCCTGCAGCCAGAAACCATTCATTTCCATCATCTACCTGTCCAGCAGCGGCCCTCCGACTTTGCACTTCAGTCGTGACCTCCGCTGCACACCTGCTCGCCTGTTTTCCACTTTCCCCTCGTCAGACCTGCGGCGTGTTTCCAACCCATTTCCCCTCCGTTTCTTGCCTGAAGATCAAAGTTGCATTGTTGCTTTGTTGTCTCGTGTTTTTTTTCTTTTCTTTTTAGCTTCTGTTACCTGAACCCAAACCTCCACCTGTCGATACTTGTGTCTGTACTTTCCCCAAATAAAAGCTTCATAGCTTTCAATAGCTCTGATCACAATCCGGTTTGTCCCACTACAGGAGCAAGTATCATTTCTTTAATCAACACTCCGGCTGCAGCCCTTGAAGACAACGCCTGAATCCTGGTGTTATTTTTCCTCCTCCCGGTCTTTGCGTTGTCACCATCCTCAGGTCCCAGTCGTGTTTTCATCCCTTCCACTCTGCCAGCCAACTGGACTATTAAAAATAGAAGAAGGTACACGGAGATGGCATGTTTAATGCATGCGCTCGTCTCCTGCCTCTGAGGGCGAAACCTCCGCTTTCTCGGGATGCTGCTCGCACAACACGGTGCGTGTGACAGGAATGAAGGCAGCAGCGGCAGAGTCTGGAGGTAAAGGAGGGTGCATACATCGTGTGGATGGAGCTTAGAGGGTGGAGGAAATAGGCCCCGGGGTTGAAACATGAAAGCTGCAAGCATGCTGCATGGGATCTTCTGATTTGAGGATGTTTCTTTGGACTGGAGCGTTTTAGGGGGAGGTACATCAGAAAAAATGAATTCATCCATAAATTGTATATTTGATATGCTATAAATCTGTTTGTGTTGCTTTTAAATTTTCTCTTTGTCCCGACGCAATGTGACAGGCTTAGCACTGCACACAGCACTGATGTAATAACTAGAGAAATCAGAAGCTATTTTAGTTTTTTTACAGCCTGCATCCACTGCCAGAAATATCACCAACTTAAAAAATGACCCTATAAATGCTGTGATTGATTGAAATTGCTGCTTTGTCATCTTACAAGGTCATCGTTGAAGTGGTTTTTCCACCAGGGCTCGGATCAATGTTATTCTGGTGTGATTGCTACTGAGCAACCATAACACCAATAACTTCTGTTACTTACATAACTTCAAAAAGATAACTATCAGTATTCATCAGCTAATGAAAACGTAAACACTGAGTTCCACTCTTGCTGATCCTCCCTACCTGCCCACCTGCTTTCGCTCAACGCCCTTCATCACTTCTGACCACTTGTGTTTCAACCTTTCTCAATTACGAATGAGCTTTGATGCTATTGTTGTTTTGTTGTTGTTGTTGCTATCTTCTCATTTTGGCCCCGAAATGAAAATCAAGGATGGTCCAGTGGCGTTCGGATTGATTGACACGAGGGCTTTTGTGGTTTAGGAGGAGTTTGTTGATTTAGGCTGCATGTGTTTTCCGGCCTCCTTTTATTCAGCTCAAGAAGGATTAAAGGTACGTTTGCTTTGGTGTTAATGTTTGTCAATGTCTGCAAGACATCCGATGATTTATCTCCACACTAAGCTGCTTCCTTGCATTAGAAGCGTTTTCTAAATGCAGTTTGCATCTCCTTGACTTTGAGGTAAACACCCTCGTTTTGTCACTGGGTGTCCTGGTTTCCTAGTTACTTGCTGCTCTGCAGTTACAGATTGCCTCCATCTGGTGCATCGTGCTTTACCCTCCTCTGAGAATAACGTATAATAGCAATAAGCCAACGTAATCGTGATTGTGAAGATATCTGAACGCTGAAGTACAAACGCAGAGCTTAATCCTATAAAAAGACAAATTAAGTTGAGAGGAAAAGGGCTTGAGGCCAATTAGCCGAATTGTGATATTGTCGTTTTAGGACATTCTATTAAAGTAATTTCGTGACACCTTAATGTTACTGAATATTCTGTTCACTTCGTTATCCATTTGAGTAAAAATGTACCATCGAATCAATTTGATAAATCTATATGATTTATATGTAACAGATTGTACTAACTTGTTGGATTAGATCACTGGATGATGAATTAAAGGGAACAGTGTGGATAGAGTGTCTCTAGCTAAAGCTGTGTTTATTTCCCAAGCTAGCTTTAACTTCACTCAGTTAGCTTAATCCTCTGTCTGAAGTTATAGCTTTTTTAATAAACAGTATAAGTGAATACACTAGTATGACTCGGTACACTAGTGCATTATATCCCTTGCATGCATATGAATAGATAGAATCAGAGTCATATAAACGGGTTTTATCTTTGACCAGGTGGGTTTTGGCTTTGTGGGATAAATACAGAAGAAGCCGATCTCCGTAAAGGATGCTCTCACATCCCTCACCACCTCGGCCCCTCCGTCCCCACAAATGGTTTTCCCAAATTCAACACCTAAAATCTTAAAAGCAAACTTCAAAATGCATCCAGTCCCTATGAAAAGGACGTGAAATCCACTGAACAGGTTTTCTTTGCGGTTCAAACGGTGCATTTTGTGGATCTGGAGGTATCAATTTTTCAGCGTCTCAGTCTAAGCTCTTTCCTTGCCCCGGGATAAATATATATATATTACGCAGACACAATTCACATTTGAGAAGTCTATTGTTTAGTTTTTTTACTATTTTCTCACTTCAGCCAAGCCCTCGGTTTAGTCCTATTTCCACAGAAGGATCCTGTGCCGGTATGAAGAGGATCGGCTAAACTATTCTATTCAATTTGAAGTGTGTCACAGACTTTGGGGGTTTTGTGCCTTCGGGGTGCAGGGATTAAAGGATAATTGGGGCTGTTCTGTTTTGCTAAAGATGCTTTGCTTGCTGCCCGAGTCAACAACTCTGTA